GAGCAGGAAATAGCAGTTGAAAGCATGTTAATGAATCAAGACCTACTTGTCGTGTTGCCGACTGCATATGGGAAGAGCTAAATATTACAAACGTATGTGACTGCAAGCGGGCAACGAAACAACACGAAGGCGTTTGCCCGTTTACCAGCATCTTCAAAGACCAGATTGCCAAAGCAAGATCATTGGAATCAAGTGTGTGTCCTTAGTAGACATAAATTTTGACAGTTTTTCTTCGGCAAAACTTTATCAACAACGGATATCGCGCCTACAAGTTGCTATGAAAAAGATATACAATTTTCCCGAGAAATCTGAGCTGCCAAAGTTCATACTTCCGTTGAAAATTAATTGACTTATTCTTTTCTGCGGTTTCCGGGGTGGAAATAAAAAATGTGCAGAGATCAGAGCAGGCTCACTTTCTCGTCTAGCGGCTTCGCCGCTCAATTTCGCGCGCTTATGCTCCAACGTGAGCCTGCTCGCAGGCTAAAAGTAATCAGGAAATTATTTTGCTTTTGCTTTTGGTTTTACTACGGTTTGAGATTGACTGAGTAGTCTAATTGGTAAGTAATTTGTTTGGTTTTCGTTTTACGACACTCGGTTGAAAACCGTTCTAATACCTTTATCCATACCGGAATGGTACTAAGACCTTAAATATGTTTCACAGTAATCAAACTATTTGTTTTTAACTTTTTCAAAGGATGAAAGTTAATTTTTAACTTTCTAAAATTAATTATTTTTGCAATTATTTTTAAGATTTCTGCTCACCGTAAGGAAAATAAATTAACCGTTCGCTGTAAAAAACAACAACAACAACAACAACAACAACAAATAAAAAGCCAGAATAAAAGCCGCCACCACATTGAGACCCTTCTACTTGGGGTGGGGAAAAGCGAAATTCTTCCAAACTTTCACTAGCAGGTAAAGCTGTATATACTTTTGACTACATGTACGAATCATTTCAGTTAATTCCTGCAAAGTAAGGGATAGTTTTTCTGTTGTTGTTGTTGTTGTTGCCATATGCATAATGGGTAAGAAGTCGCCAAGCCATGTTCACGATGTAATCTTTACAGTTCAGCGGTATTTCATCCGTCCAAACATAGTCACCATGCTTTCATGATTACCATAGAGTACGGTTGCTTGCATTTGGCTTTCACGCTTTTCTTCTAAAAGAGTTGAAAATAATTCAAAATGATTTTCTGGCGCGCAGAAGAAAATTTAGTGGTGAACAACAAAGACAATAAAGTGTTCATGTCTCGAAACTATCGGTCTGATGGTTGCCCATTGGAAATTTGATGTTGTTAAAACATGCATATGTTAAAACTAGTTTCATATTTTCCGGAGAAATGAGGGTTCGGGGGCAAATATTTGTCTTTCAAAACCATTTTAAAACATAAAGAAGTAGTCTGTATGAGAAGAAAACTGCTGTTTACTATTTTCAAATATCTCTTTTCGTTCCAGAGATTCCAGAGATTTAAAATATGCAAATTAGCCAAGTGATGACGTCATGCACTCTACCAGATTTTGATCTGAATATGATGAAGGAAGATATCACAGCCAATTTGTATCAGAAATGTTTTATTCTTTGCAGTAAGATTCTCCACAATACGAGCTTGACAGTTTTGTTACCATGGCAAAATACTGGGTTCTAGACCTCCCCAATATTTCTATAATTTCCTCCCCTATTTCTATAATTCCTGTTGTGGCTAAGGTCTTTGAGAGAATCTTATACAATCAATTTTACGAATATTTAACTGAAAATAATCTAATTTCCTGTAATCAGTCGAGGTTTCGTTCACTTCACTCCACTGCTACTGCCTTACTCGAAGCCACAGATAATTGGGCTTTCAATACCCGTCCGATAAAGATAATGTTAATGCAGTGACAGTTTTCTAGATCTGAAGAAAGCTTTTGACACCGTCGATCACTCCATATTGCTATCTAAATTAAAAGCCTATGGTGTCGGAAGCAACTCGTCTAGCTGGTTTAAATCCTACTTGGATAATCGTACGCAGACATGCTTTGTAAAAGGCTCTCTCTCGAATAGCCAACCTTTAACTTGCGGTATTCCTCAAGGTACAATCCTTGAACCTCTCCTCTTTAGACTCTATATAAACGATCTATCAACTCACATCCTAGAATGTATGCGGATGATACTCATTTGACCTTTGCCAGTAACGATGTTTTGCATCTAGAGGAAAATATGAACGATGATCTAACTAAAATTACTGAATGGTTAACGGCAAATAAACTCACTCTGTGATAAGTCAAAGACTGAATTTAAATACTTTTACTAGACTCCAGTCTTTTACTCATCGACAGTACCTCTGTAAAACAAGTAGAATTTACGAAATCTC